AGAGAGAGAGAGAGAGAGAGAGAGAGGATGAAAGAGAGAAGGAGAGTACAGGCCTAGCCTGGGGTAGAGGATGGGGTCTTTAGGGTTTCATGGGCGCAGTCTTTGTTGGTGGGTGTCAAACATCAGAGCAGGAATTTAAGCACAGGAAGAAAAAACAAACGAGCAGCCTATATGGGCAGGTATTGAAATCAACCAAGATCTGAAAAAAAGGCTCCTCGGTGGGGTGCGGCAACCTGGCTCTTTATGCAGCCATGTGGCTGGCACTGTGTGTACTGAGACAGGCTTCTTCCAAGTGGATGCCTCAGCAACCTAAGCTTAAGGCAGGCACTGCATTGCAAAAAGCAAAAAAAACAAACAAAAATACTCAATTGTCAGGGCTTCCCCTACAAATGTGAAGACTGCGTTATGCTAAGTGAAATACGTCAGATGGAAAAAGACAAATACTGTATGGTCGCACTTCTATGTGGAACCTTAAAAAAAACTACAACAGCCAAGCTCATAGATACAGAGAACCCTGGATCGGCGGCCTCCTGCACACCCCACACTGGGGACCGAGCCCGCCACCCAGGCCTGTGTCCTGACTGGAAATCGGACCAGTGACCTTCTGGTTCATCGGTCAATGCTCACCCACTGAGCCACGCCGGCCGGGCTGCATCTGGAATCTTAAAGGCTCCCCAATCTGATACACTCATGGCTGGGAAGCACTGGCCTAGACCTTAATGCCTCCAACACAGTGATTCTCAACCTGTGGGTCGCGACCCCTTTGGCGGTCGAACGACCCTTTCACAGGGGTCACCTAAGACCATCCTGCAGATCAGATATTTCCATGACGATTCCTAACAGTAGCAACATGACAGTTATGAAGTAGCAACGAAAATCATTTTCTGGTTGGGTCACAACATGAGGAGCTGTATTTAAAGGGCCAGAAGGTTGAGAACCACTGCTCCAACATAACACATTCACCCCAGTCCTCTCTCCTGAGCTGTAGGTGACTTACTAAGGAGCTCCCTGCATCCCGCATGGGCATTTAGAAGGCAGCTCACATTTACCATGCAAAATAGCAAACACTTCCCACACCCCTTCCCCTCCATAAAGTATCTGTTTCACTGGGGAGCCTTGCCTTTACTGAAGGGTCCCAGGTTCGACTCCAGTCAAGGACACACGCCTGGGTTATGGGGTCGATCCCCAGAATGAGGCGTGCAGGAGGCAGCTGATCGATGATTCTCTCTCATCATTGATTGTTTCTCTCTCTCTCTCTCCCTCCCTCTCTGAAATCAATACAAATATATTAAAAGAAAACAGCTTGCTGCTCTTGCAACCATTTCAGCATGTGGTGTTCAAAGTGCAGCAAACATGTCATTTGCATGGGCTCTGCTACCTACGCGAAACTCTAAGCAAGTCATTCGGCGTGAGTCCAAAGGGGATTTATTTCTAGAATTGAAAACCTGAGCCTCTCGAGCTTCTGAGTCATGAGAGCTCAGAGGTGAACCCTTTACGGGGAGGCCTGCCCAAGGCTGCCAGAAGCAACGCGCATTCTCCCCAGGCGAGGCCTCGCTGACGATCCCCTGAGAAGCCACAGAAAGCTCACCCGCACAAAGCCATCTCTGGCCTCAGGTGCATACACTGACCTTTTTGTTATTTCCTGAATGCAAGCCATTCCAAAACCATGAACTCTGTGGTCTGAAGCAGGGTTTCTCGGCCCTGGCACTAAAGGTGTGTGGGTAGGGGCAGCCCAGTGCATTGGCCAATGTTTAACAGCATCCCTGGCTTCTACCCGCTAGATGCCATTAACACACACATGCACACAGACACGCAAAAACGCACACACACGCCAGTTGTGACAATAAAAAATGCCCCTAGATATTGCTAAATGTCTACCACTGAGAACCACTGGGTTAAAGCAGCGGTTCTCAACCTGTGGGTCGCGACCCCTTTGGCGGCCGAACGACCCTTTCACAGGGGTCGCCTAAGACCCTCCTGCACATCAGATATTTCCATGACCATTCATAACAGTAGCAACATGACAGTTAGGAAGTAGCCACAAAAATAATTTTATGGTTGGGCCACAACATGAGGAACTGTATTTAAAGGGCCAGAAGGTTGAGAACCACTGGTAAAGGAAGACAGCTTCATGTGAAATCATCAAAGGGGCTGTTAGTGTAGGCCCCAGGGGAGAGACTCACACATCCGCACTGGTGGATCCATGCAGCACAGCTCCCCCACCAGTGACTGCCTCCTACTTCTTGTCCCCTGAATGCATCAAACATCTCCCTAAAGGCCAAAGGAGAAGAGGGGTACCATGGCTCATACAAAGCAGATTGCTCTCAAATCTATTCGTGATAAAACACAGAGTAAGCAAGCGGCTAATAAAGCCGCACGCAAGAGTGCGCCCTCTACTGGAGAGGTGAAGACGGCAGGTGAGTGGATTAAAAAACTCCGGTACATCTATACAATGGAATACTACGCTGCTGTAAAAAAAGAAAGAACTCTTACCATTTGCAACAGCATGAATGGACCTACAGAGCCTTATGCTAAGCAAAATAAGCCAGTCAGAGAAAGGTAAGTATCACATGATCTCACTCATGTGGAGTCTAATGATCAAATAAAACTGATGAATAACATAGATCCAGAGACATAGAAGCATGGAACAGACTGTTGAATTTTAGAGGGAAGGTGGCGGGGGGGCGTGATTAATAGGGGAACTTATATGTCACATGATCTCACTCATGTGGAGTCTAATGAATCAAATAAACTGATACAAAAATAGACCCAGAGACATAGAAGCATCAAACAGACTGTCAAACCTCAGAGGGAAGGCAGCGGAGGGGGGAGATCAACCAATGAACTCATGTGCCTATATACATAACCCATGGACACAGACCATAGAGTCGTGAAGGCCTGGGGTGGGTGGGGACTGGATGGGAGAGGTTAACGGGGGGAAAGAGGGGACATATGTAATACTTTCAACAATATATTTTTTTAAGTCTTCCTAAAGCTGATGTCACAGGGAAACGCAAGGAAGAGTTATCAACGATAGTGACCCCTTCCGAAAGTTCATTCTGATAACTTTAGTGGTTGCAGGATATATTTTAGCTGTTAAATACAGGGACAAACACCAAGATATTGCCTTTCTTTCTTTCTCATTTTTTTTTTCAATTACCTCAAGAGGAAATGTTATCACTATGGCCTATGCTGAACCAAAAAGCAGGAGGGCCACGTGTTGCCATGGCAACAAAGCCACAGCGCATTTCCTGTAACCCTCTGAGTTCACAGTGCAGGCTCCCAGGGGCATCGGACTGGATTTCCTAATTGCTTTACCAGAGGACACTCCCGCATTCCAATCCAAGAAGTAAAACTTGTTACAAGTGATGATGCGCATTTAAATATGGGGTTCCTCTAGCTGAAAGGGGGCTTTATATTTGGAGGACATTTCAAGGGGAAATGCCAACCATGGTGGCTCTTTGTAGATTGCTGACTCCAGCTCAGAATCTGGGGACTCAAGTCAATGTTCTGAAGAGCAAAATTCCAGGGACTCGCCACCACACTAGTCTGTACTCTCATCTCTGACCTTGTTGGTACCTCTGCCCATAGTGCCTTCTGCACTCCCCAGGGTAAGATGATGCCCTTCTCCATCTTCCCAGCACACCTGGTCATAATCTGTCCTGTGCAGTAACACTGGTTCTCGTGTCTGAATTCGCTACTACACTAGAGACTCCTGGAAGGTAGAGGCGATGTCTTCCCTGGCATTTAATAAGAGTTTAATAAATTTCTGCTGAATGAGAGGTTCCTTTTTTGCTTGACACTTAAGATGAAAATCAAAAGATAACAAAAGAAACTCATACAAGAATTTAGAAAAACAAGTGAAAGTACAATTATGAACCAAGACCCATCCCAGACTTCTGGAGGGAGATTTAGAGTTAGTATAGATGCAATCTAAAATTTTCCATCAATGGGTTTCAAGTACCTCCACCATTCATTCACTCATCCATTCATTCACGGAGTATCTACTGAATGTCTACTATGTGCTAGGCATGCAGCAGGTGAGAATGGTCATGTTTAACCTATATATATAAAGAGGTGCCTTAACCGGTTTGGCTCAGTGGATAGAGCGTTGGCCTGTCGACTGAAGGGTCCCAGGTTCCATTCCAGTCAAGGGCATGTACTTTGGTTGCGGGCACATCCCCAGTGGGGAGTGTGCAGGAGGCAGGTGATCGATGTTTCTCTCTCATCGATGTTTCTAACTCTCTGTTCCTCTCCCTTCGTCTCTGTAAAAAAAATCAATAAAATATATTTTTTTAAAAAATAAAAATTAAAAAAATAAAGAGGTAATATGCTAATTGGTACTAACAGTGTCCCAGTCATGATTGGTCAACGGGCTGCATGCGCACAGGAGCTGGTGGGCAGGGACTTGGGCGGAGACACAGACAGGGGGGCCTGCCTAAGCTGCCGCGGTGCGGCTTGAGCAGGCCCGGAGCGGATCTACTTAATTCCCTTTCAATGTGCACAAATTTCGTGCACCGGGCCACCAGTACTTACATAAGGTTTTATAGTGTATGTTACAGTCTCGTCCCCATAACCTAATCCAAGAAATATCTAGAAACTCATTGAGTCATTGTGTTTCCTAAGAACATACATACAAAGTGTGAGATCTACCTGTCCTGATGAATGCTAACCAAGACCCACCCCAGCCATTAAAATTCCAACATACAGTTCATACAAGAAACATATTAATCAGAATTTTATTCTAAGGAGATCTGTCATAGAGGCAGCATTTGCACCCAAGAATTGCTCTCTGCACCAAAGCCACCTGGGCTTTGTCTAAAGGCAGGCTGCTCACTTAGTTATCGCAAAGGAATAGCAAAGAAAAGCCAGGCTGAAGCTAAATGAACTCTACAATGTGTTTCAGCCTCGCTAAATTGTCAAAGCCAAGTGTTCCCAAACTACTCCTCACCTGCATACTCTCCAAGGTTGCCTAGTAGCATTTATAAAACGACCCTAGCATTTCCAAAAGCCCCTATTCAAAATAAGGCCATGCTAGCGTGGGTTTTGAAAACCCAGAAGTAATCAGATATGCTTGGGTCGCTCCGAATCTAGGAATGAGCGAGCTACAATTTCATTTGGGATGTATTAAACTTGTTTGCGAAAATTTTATGTGGGCTAGGCTAAGTTTTTGTTTTCACAAATTGTCAAGAATGTTCTTAGATACTCCCCAGCATGCTAAAGAGAATCTGGCTTGTCCGGCTTCCGTCTGTGCCTACCCTGCCTTCCAAGGGAGACTCGGTCCCACAGAAGTGGTGCTTGAGCTTTTGAGCACTTGAGAGGGGCATGGTTCTGGTTACGGTGCTTAAGGCTAGTGGATGAGGAAGAAAAAGGACACAAAGCAGTATTTCTGAGTATTAAATATCTGATTAGTTCCAAGAAGTTCAAGTCAATTACTCAAGTTATTTCAGAATTATTTCTGGTTGAATAAACGAAGAAACAACATTGAAACAGACTCATAGATACAAAGAACAGACTGATGGGGAACTGGATGAAAAAGGTAAAGCATTGAGAAGTACTGATTGGTGGTTACAAAATACAGGGATGTAAAGTACAGCCTAAGGAATATAGTCAATAATATTGTAATAACTATGTACGGTGCCAGGCGGTTACTGGAAATATCGGGGGATCACTTTGTGGAATATATGATTTTCTAACCACTAAGTGCTGTACACCTGAAACTAATATAAAATAGTATTGGATGTGAACTACAATTGAAAAATAAAATTTTTAATACTGTGCTAACAATATTCTGTTGGCCCTTCCAAAACTAAGACACATATGAATTGTATGACATATCACAGCCCTCTGAAGGTATATTATTGCTCATCAAGGCTCATTAAGGCCTGTCAATCCCCTTTTTGTTTTAGTATTTCCAAAGGAAGAGTAAGCAAAGTAGCATGTAGGCAGATAGCTCAACTCTTATTTTTGGTAATTATTTCATTTTCACATGCTTTAATGGTATATCTTCCTGCTATCTCTTACAGTTTTTTTAAAAATATATTTTACTGATTTTTTACAGAGAGGAAGGGAGAGGGATAGAGAGTTAGAAACATCGATGAGAGAGAAACATCGATCAGCTGCCTCCTGCACACTCCCCACTGGGGATGTGCCTGCAACCAAGGTACATGCCCTTGGCCGGAATCGAACCTGGGACCCTTGAGTCCGCAGGCTGACGCTCTATCCACTGAGCCGAACCAGTTAGGGCCAAAACACTTTTTTTAAGCA